CAGAATAAAATATTTTATTATTAACGTTGCATATTTAGTTTCTAATATGCATACGTTTTTAAAGGTCAAGGTTGAAAATGAGCGTAACAGCTAATTATTTTGTTGAAGAGAGACTTACCAGAAATAAGGTTTGTAAAGAATGAGCTGTCATCTGTTAACTGCATGGAGAAGAATTTTACCAGTTGGTATGCAGGTGGAGCTACTATTTACCATTTTGGTGGATACGTGGTGTTCGAATCCTACTCTCGGTTGTACTATTGTTGATTACGCACGTATTCCGACTATGGTGGCGGCCCAAATAAACGTGTGCGCATTTATTTGTGGGAATATTTTTTTAAAAACTTAATGTTGGGGCGTCGACGTCTACGGCACTTTTCGTTAGAAAAAAAAAACTTCGAGAGATGAAGAAATGTATTTGCAAAAAGAAGATGCAACAGTTACCCGCTTCTTCCAATCTTGTTTTTTTTTTCTTATTTATTCTCGGATGATAAAAAGATATGAAAGAATAAAGGTTTTTGCAATGAGTCAGAACATCAAAAGTGTGTTTGGGTTGTTGGGGAGTGTGCAAAGGTCATAAAGGTCATAAAAGGAGAAGGACTGATGATATGCAATATATCATATATTTTTTTTGTATTGCCCCACATTCGGTTTCCCTTTTTTGAAGGGATTAATGGAATAATTTGGTGAAGGGTGGACAATGCTGAAACATTGAAACGAGTAATAGGGAATGGATAAAGTTTGGTGATGGAGAGGGTGTTAAAGAGGTGGGGAAAAGGAGATAAATTCATTAAGAATAAAAATACATAAGAGAAACAGAGAGATCAGAGAGAGAGAGAGAGAGAAAGAGAATGATAAGGGGAACAGAAGAAAGAGAGGTTATTATATAAAGCATAGAGAAAGGGAAGAGACATAAGAGGAGCTGGAGGAAAGAGGGGTTATTATATGACACAAATTGAGAAAGAGAGAAAGAGAGTGAGAAAGAGAGAGTGAGAGAGTAAGACAGTAAGCGAGAAAGAGAGCGTGAGGGAAAGAATGAAAAAGGGAACAGACGAAAGTGAGGATATTATATAAAATATGAAGAGTGAAGAGACATAAAAGGAAGGGGAGGAAAGAGAGAGAGAGAAATGAAAAGAGTGAACGTAAAACAATAAAGAGTGATGATTATACTACAGAGATAGAGATAAAGAAGAGAGAGAGAGAGAGAGAGAGAGAAGGAGGGAGAGAGGGAGAGAGAGAGGGAGAGAGAAGGAGGGAAAGAGAGAGAGAGACAGAGGGGGAGAGAGAAGGAGGGAGAGAGAGAGATTGTTTTCTTTAGTAATATTTCTCGAATATTCAGGCCGTTAGACGAAAATATACTGTTTAATAAATAAACGGAACGTTTATTCAAAAATGGGTATCCACTAAAAATAACGTTTAAAGTGATAATATATATATAAATTTGGTTGATAATATTTTTCAGTTTGTGCATTACGTGTCATATTATTTTAGACGATCATGCATCTTTCGATACATGACTAATGAGGCAGATTTTTTCCCGAAGTAGGTTGCCATTTCTGTCTGCGGTAGACCAGTTGCCAATCAAGGCTATAGAACCCAGTCTGTCCTGCTATTTACACATAGCTAACGGGAGAAGAAGAGGATTCATACCTTTCTGAAGGGCATTAGCACGAGTTTTTCTTTTTTTTGGTTCACCACTTCCGTGTCCTGGTATTGAACTCACAACTCTTTGGGTCTAGTCACTAGATCTAACCAACGTCTTTATTCACTGGACCATGTGTTGGAGATTTGAGTTAAATGGAAATAACAAAGACGTTCGGAAAAGGCACGGCACGTGGAACTAGAACAATCTACCTCGGAGGGCAAAATAAAGGTTTCGACTCGAAATTCCAATCACCTGAAGAAGGACGGAGCGTACAACGGCCGAACGGTTGTGAATATGGCACTGACGATGAGGATAACAAAAAATCAGCGAGTAACTTGTGTTAATGGATGGAAGGATGGAAGTTGTGGAGAACCATAATCATCTACGTCCTGAAAAGATACGGAATATAAAAGAAATAGCGTTCAAACTATGAGATCAGGGTTCAAATCTCATCCTGGTAGTTTAATCAAGGAGACGATCTCAACATGTCGCACATTTGGAAAGTGGCTGAAAATCATCGTATGATTTGATCTAAGCGTTGTGAGTGAAACTGGATAGATGACATTGTTCGAAAGCGGTTAACAGTTGTGCTAGCATGTTAATGGCGGAACAAAATTGTCCTTTTTATACTAACGTTCATCTAATGAAAGGCCCAAGAGTCAATCAAGGTAGAAGGTTACTGAATGAGGTGAACGAAATAGAACAAGAACAGTGCTGGTTGGTCAACGACGTCAGAACAAAGAATGCAATATTTATTTATGTATTTCAGAATGATATCAGAGAGAGCAATATGTCCGTCCCTTTGAAGTCATTTTTATGACACCTCTTTAAGCTGACTATATTTTCTGATAAATGTCGTATTTTAAATAGAGAAGCAATTTAGATCGGATCGTCTTGCTATCAGTGGAACGACAGTTACCGAATTGGTCGTGTTTAAGCCCGCCAGATATTTTTGATTTATATAAAATGTCAATTGTTATCTTCTCTCTTTTTAATTCCTGTTTTATTCATTGTTCTTGTCCCTTAATAATGTTTTACTTTTTCTCATAGCCTCTGGTCGGGGGATTGGAGCTTTTGAGGAGCATGAAACTACGTCTTAATTGCTGCTGTTCCTAGGTTCACTCTGATCTGGGGTGGTAGCACCTGCTAGGGTCCCAGCTATGGGCATATATTGAACCCCCAAACAAATCAACAGTATAATTTTATAATGAAATGACCAACAATACATTTTTATAGCAAAATGATAATAAATGCAATACTAAAAAAACATAAAATTACATTTTTATATTAAAATTATCAACAATATATTTTATGATCTACAAAATCTTTTTCTAAAAACATATCTAAAATTACGTGCAAAATGTCGTTGAAAGCATAAAATTATGTGCAAAATAAATCGTTAAAAGCATAAAGTTCCATGCAAAATACTTAAATTTGGGCATTAAATAACCCACAGTTGATATGTCGCTAAGCAAATACAACCAACCAACTTATTGACTTTAAAAGCTCGTCCCATACATCAATTCGTTGATGTAGTGGAGTGTCGAACAAACTCACCTTGTATCTCCTGCTGGCCTTATGTCAGACTAAGCTAAGTTTGAATGGCTAAAATATCTTTTTTTTTTTTTTATATAATTCAGTGAAGCATTCTCTTTCCGATAAATATAAATGTGAAAAATATAATCAATGATAGAATATAACCGCGTTGTCAGTCGTGTCTTAATTTCAAGAAGTCATTAATTTAATATATGCCCTTGTATATGGGTCTCGGTCCCAAACTATGGTAGATTTGAGAGAGTCAAGATTTTTTTTCTTGGTAGAAGCCCTGCTAAAGTAAACGCTATGAAAGCAAAGAACAACACGAGCCAAAGTCGAATTTTAAGAACGCAACAATCGAGGGTTGTTAACATCCATTTTTCGATGTTGGGTATGGAGGAAAATGTCGAGAACATTCGAGAAATAGTTCCGGTCGATTATCGTCGTAATTTTGACGAGTTTTGTAGAAATTATTGGCATTTCGCACATAAACACTTGAATGGATGATTGACACGATGATTTTGCTATGGTTGTTTGAAGCGGACAATTGAGGAAGTAAGATGCAATCCAAAGATTCAGGGGGTGGGGGAAATTAGGCGTGCCTCTACTTGTACATCTGGGGCAAGTGAAAGAGCATAAAGGTCAAAAGATTTTGATCAAAGTAAAGCACAAGAACACACTGGTTGGATGAGAACTTTTTATATTTCATGTCAGTATGTTCACAGATACATATATCTGTTTAATGAAATAGTGAAAAAAAGAAAATCTCTGTCCAGGTTTTTACAAGCTTTCAAAATGCAGTTGGTATAGAGTCTTTTCTCTTAGTAGCAGCAAGGTTACTCATGAAAGGATGTTTGATAGAGCAAAATGAAAATTAATTATCTGTGAAGCAAGTAATTGCTATCTGTCTATATCTCTGAGATGAAGTATTATGATTACTTGCATTATTTATATTATTGGGACTGTTATTCTCATCTTCATTGCTATATTCACATTTTCGGCCTCTATATCTCTGAGATGAGGTATTATGATTACTTACATTACATACATTATTGGGACTGTTATCCTCATCTTCATTGCCATATTCACAATGTTTCGGCTTTCTTCAGGTGATTGGAATTTCGAACCAAACCCTTAATTTCGCCCACCTCAAGGAAACATGGCCCAGTGGATATAGACGTTGGTTAAATCCAGTGACTATACCCAAACATTTGTGAGTTCAATACCAGGCCACAGCAGTGGTGAAAAAAACAAAAACAAAAAACAACTTGGAGAATTAAGTTAAGGTGAAATAACTGAGACATCCGGAAAAGGCATGGCACGTGGAACTAGAACAATCTACCCCGGTGGACGAAATAAAGGCTTCGGTTAGAAATTCTAGTCTTTTGTGTGGGTAGTCTACAGTTCAACTCTGCCTTCAGGATTGTTGTCTCATACGAGACATAAACATAAAGAAATTGAACTGAAAGACGCCGAAAACGACAGGCGAGAACATCATATATATATATATATATATATATATATATATTAACAATGACTTGGTACAACAAAATTTTATTGAATTGTTTTTTACGGTTTATCAACCTTTTGCAGGTTATTTAAAGCAAGAAAATATTTTTAGAGTCTTTGAAATAATAAGCAATTTACTGACACAAGTCCAACTAATTAACCCATAGCGGGGGTGGTGTAGGAATGACGTATTTTTTACCTTTAACAGGGATATTTCCGCCCAAGTGAATATAACAAACCTGACTGAAATTGGAAATTGGTTTCCAAGACCGAGACGCTATCGATTCCACCACCTGCACATCCTTACTTGCAGCAAGCGGTCACCCACCTAGGTACTGACCAGGTTCGACGTTGCTTAACTTCGTTGATCGTACGAGAACAGGTGTTTCAACGTGATATCTCATAACCAGAAATCTTTCAAGAATTATTAAATAACACATGTTAGCATTTTAATATTATTGAAAATACGTCTAAGGAAACATTCGGCCAACCCATCTTCACACACACACACACACACACACACACACACACACACACGCACGCACGCACGCACGCACGCACACACACACGCACACACCGTCCTGGGTAAGACGATAAACTACACCCTCTGATCAGGAGGTTTTGAGGAGCGTGGAACCATCTTTTAATTGCTGGTGTTTCCAGATCCACCGGGGTGGTAGCACCTGTTAGGGTCCCAGCTATGGGCAAACAGTTAACCTCGAAACTGGCTTTAAAACACTATGAAAGTGTAAAAATAGGTTGTAATACCAGAAATACTTTGTAAAAAAAATTACCAACAATATATTAAAAAAAGAAAAAAATTACTAGCAATACATCTTTGAAAAAAAAATTCCCAGAACTAAATTTTTGAAAAAAAAAATTACCAGCAATAAAAATTTTATCGGCATTAAATAGCCCATTGAGGTTGATATGCCGTAAAACAAAACAAAACAAAATACACACACACACACACACGCACACACGCACACACGCACACACATACATATATATATATATATAAACAACGACATGATACCGCAAATTTTAATAAAGCCTTATATAGTACCAATGGACGCATCTTAATACTAAAAAAGGCATCTAAAGGAGCCTTTCCCCAAACCTTATTAAGAGATATATCGTTACATGAATATATATATATATATATATATATATATATATATATATATATATATATATATATATATATAGATAGATAGATAGATAGATAGATAGATAGAGCGTGTGTAAATATAAAAAGTGAACATTGAAGTCAGGCCTAACGATTGCGTCTAGCATGAAACAGACTGTCGCCTCTAAGTGCTGACTTCTATGAGAATTTATATATATATATATATATATATATATATATATATATATATATATATATATATATATATATATATATATATGGAGAGAGAGGAGAGGAGAGACACAAGAAGATATATTTGTTGGATGGATATCAAGAGACAATGAAAAATTGAAAAACATGTAAGGATAGGAAATGCATTAAAATTTTTTATGGTGAGATAGAGCAAAAAGAAAGATTAAAGAGAGGCCACACTCGAAAATGTTTGTGCATTCTTTATTCCGCTTTTTCAAAATAAAACTAATCCATATTTGTAAAATATTTAGATGTAAGCATTGATGGGCAATAAAGATTGGAAAGGTAAAGGGCCAGGACGAGAAGATACAGGCAGAGAAATATGAGTTTACTGGCATAATCTTTCGATAGTTTGCCATAAATATTAAAAATACTGTGGCTAAATCTACTGCCTCGACGCCATTATTTTAAGTTCGTGCAAAAGTTTCCAGAGTTCCCTCAAGAATGAAGACAGCGTTGAAAATCATTTTTTTTTAGCTGGAAACCTTTCATACGGCTAATAGTAAACACATTTTTCTTTCGAGTTAAAATAAAGAAAAGGAAAAAAAAAAAAGGCAAAGGAAAAAAGAAAAACAAAAAAAACATTGAATAAAAATAAATGAGTAAAAAGTAAATAGTTGAGATAAAGTGATAGATAAAACGTAGCACAGATCGAGGTGGGTAGCACACACACACACACACACACGCACACACACACACAACGTTGGTTTCATATGTATATATATATATATGCCCACCACCGGCTCTTTCCGTGTCTATATAATAAAAAAACAAACATGTTCTAGGCAATCCATTAGGCTATCTTGTTTATTTTAGTTTTTATTAAATCCCATTTACTTTCAGGATTTAGACGGTAGCGGCTCTCCACAGATTCCATTTTTTTTTATTATCTGTGAATTGCGAAAGACAGTGAAATTGTTTTTCGTTGCTTTCTCCATGGTTTTGAATTCGTAATTGTCTTTTTCATAGACTGGTTACCACTCAAGACTAGAGAGCCCTGTCTACCCTATTATCTAACCCTTAGCTTAGGATAGAAGCAATGAAGTCATGCATTTTTTCGTAGGGCATTGCTGCATCGTACGAAGTAAAGGTAACACACTCGGCCGAAACTTCAACTCAGTTCGTTGGTTTCATTTACCGGAAGTTTGCTTTACCGGAAGTTTGCTTTACCGACATAAAAAAGAACCCGTTTTCAAAGAGGATGTTTTTTTTTGTTGTTGTTGCTTATCGTTCGTTGGTGAATTTTTTTATGTTCTGTTCTTTGAAAGCGCTGAAACAACCAACACAAAATGGCAGCGCAGACACCCGCTTTTTTATTTTTATTTTTTCGATAGTGGCACGGCACTAAATCCCATATCCCCGTAATCACCATCGGCACCACGTATCCTTCCTTTCCGCTCTTTGATTCTAAAGGACTTATTTGGCAGTGTTGAATATGCAAACTTCTTCGGAACTAGGTTACATTTGAGACTAAAACAGAAGGGGAAAACCGAATAACAAGCTGGGATCTGAGCCCCCCTCCACCCCGCCTCTTCTCTTTGTCGATTCGTTTGGTGGCATGAAATGCAATTATTATCTACTCCAGATTGAATTGTATTTAGAAACAATATTAGAGATCAAGTGCCAACAAATTTCCCAAGAATTAAAAACCCCAAAGAGGGTAGAACTCCCCATCTTCCGCGTAGAGGGTGTCTAGAAAAAAAGGGGGCAGTCGCCAAGGGGGCATTAAAGATGAGTGATAATTATCTGTTCATAACATCTATAAGAGAAAATCGCTTACACTTGAGGAACACGTCTTCGATACAAAGAGATCTGAAAGGTCAGTGGAATTATGTATCTGAAAATATTTGCTTGTCATAAAAATCGGCATATTCAAGAAACAAATGCTAAAGGGTGCCATTAATACGGTCTGCTCACTGCAGTGGTATATAAATTAAAACATTACTGACATTTTAAAATTTTTGTGAGTTGACCATATGTTTTTAATACAAAGATAATCATTAAGCTTGACATATTTTATATTGATTGTCAATGCATCTCAAGAGAATGGGAATACTGTAGATCTTTTTTTTTTTATACCAGGGAGACCGGTTTCATGACAGACAATGTTTTCGCCGATCAGTAATGGCACACTTGTGTAACTTAAGTGCATTTCGATAAAGAAGTCAACAATAAGAAGAGCAATTTATTAAAGGGAAGAAAAGGTGTTAGTGGTTAAGTTAACCTATTTTTGATAAAAGCACAATTTTTAGCACAGAGGAAGCACGTCAGGCTATATGACGGTTCCGTATAGGATACAGGCTCGATTCCGGTCGGAGGGCGCATATTTTCTATGAAAATTTCTCGGACATTCAGGCCGGTAAATGTCGTTAATACTGTTTATTATAAACAGAGCATTTACTTAAAATATTTTTATCTATAAAAAGAATGTATAAACATAAAAAATGTCTTAAAATGATTGTCAGACTTTTTCCATTTCATAAAATATATATATATATATATATATATGATGTGGAAAGAGGAATCAACAATGGTTGCGATCTTCAGACCAAGTACAAAGATCGCATTAAGGCGTAAAAATGACAGTCACCATGTAGTGTTGATTGCTATGTCCATACTGTTATATCTATAGCTGCTCTGTTTCTGATATTGAGAACTTTTCTGTCTGTCTTTCGTTTATTTGAAAGCTCAACAATTATGTTTAGAACTGAACCGTGAAACTAGCGTCACATAAGAATTGATTAAAACGGTGACATTTTGTTTAGAACTACCCATAATTTGACAAAGCACTGAAAACGTTTAAATGGCGTTCGGTATATCAAGAGATCTTTGAATAAATGCGCTTATGCAGTCATAATTATTGCTTGATGAAGAGTTCTAATTATCATACTATTTACCCGAAGCTTAGGGGAATTCATGTTTTCCTTGTGCCACTTTCTCTCGTTTTATACGTTGCTGTAAAGTACCCACTATTCATTGCTGGTCTCGATTTGAATATTATATTTATGCGTACGTCGCGCATTACACACTGAAATATGGTCCAGTATTTTTTTTATTCTTTTTCGTGGACGCCATATATCAAAGTGACTATCATATCTGATTTATGTGGTTTTAATATTTGATTTGAATATTCTGAGGACCTTGGCGATCTCTAGTGTTATAAAGATGATTGTTTTCATCACATGTCTTGATTACATCACAATCAAGCGCAACTCGTTTGCCTGACTATGGATAATCATTCAGTCGGAAATCCACTTTTAACATGTACGTTCACTCAATAACTTCTCCATAATCTGGATAACCATTTGAATCTGTATTGCATTTGTACTTTCTTTAAAGAAAAAAACAAAACCGAAAACATAAAAAAATTCCCCAAAATTGCATAATATCCATAAAATGTTTTATTTCATCTTCGATGTTAAAATAAAAATGAAATAAGATGAAAATGCGCCTATTTTAAGAAAAAAAAAATAGTAAATGTCTTATAATCAAAATCGATCTTTTTAAATGATGTTCTTTAAGACTAGATGTTCCTAATGACGTCTTATGATCAAATAGAAAATATTTTGAGCAACAAGAACCAAAAGAAAGATAAAATAAATTTTAAGAATTGTTCTGAACATTTAGGACGGTCTACAATTTTGTACGGAATGAACAGTTGGAAGTTTTTCATAAACGCACCTGAGGGTAAAATTAGTTTCGGCAGTTGAACAAACATGGTTGTAAACAAAGCTGTAAATTGATTGATTGGTTTATCGATGTGGTTTGCCCATTTGTAGCGAGAGAGTTGAGCTATTGTTGATCTGTTGGCGCCATTGGGATTATTTTATCGTCTGCTTACCAACAAAAGTTGTGTTCTATTATGCTATTACAAGCAGTCGATACACTTGAATGCGGTAAATGTTTTTTTTTTTTTTTTTATAAAAGACGAAACAAAACACGCTTTTCTTTTGCCAAGAGCAACAAGATTACTTACAAACATTGGACATAAGATTTGATACCTGTCGTAAGGTCCGATGAATTTCTACCTCCTCATAGAACACAGTTTAACAAGATAATGTTAAAACTGAATTAAACTAAAAGAATATGAACTTTATATTACCGATTGCCATAATTTTCGGATTTTAATCGGACTTAAAAATGCCTTCCAACAATTTCGGGAATCCTATTACTTTTCGTCGCGATAAAAATAAATTCACTGCCATATTGTTATCAACTTTTTGCCGGTTCTGTTGATGCATACTTTGACTAAATGAATAGTGTTTGTGCCAATTTATGACGCTCAAAACCAGTGGTCGGCAACCTACGGCACGCGTGCCACGGGTGGCACGCCATGCAATTTGAAATGATACGCAGCCGCGAATGACATCACAAAGTCCGAAGCCAACAACTACTACAACACAAAGAAGATATTTAGCTGTTTCAATTTTAATATATACTAGTGTATATATATTACTCAGTCAGTTATGTGCCATGCGTGATAGACGCTTAGGCGATCATGTATCTTTCGATACATGACTGACGAGGCAGATTTTTCCCGCGGTAGGTTGAGAAAATATTTAGTTGTTTCAATTTTAATATATACTAAAGTATATCTATTATGTGTATGAAAATTTCTCGGACGTTCAGGCCGGTAAATGTCGTTAATACTGTTTATTATAAACAGAACATATACTTAAATATTTGTATCTATAAAAAGAACGTATAAACATGAAAAATGTCTTAAAATATATATATTATATATTACTATATAAAATATATTGTAAAACAGGCATATTGATTTTACCTTGTATAAAAATACGAATACTTATATATGCATATATACGTAAAAATACGTTGGCACACTGAATGATTTTAAATTTTTTAAGTCACATAGTTAGCGAAAGTCACATAGCGAAAGGTTGCCCGCCCCTGCTCTAAACAATGGATTGATAATATATTTTAAAATTTATTTAGATGATTTCATTATTTTCAGTTTATATACACTGACGTCATGGGATTAGTATGTAAAGGTAATGGTAGGTACAGCCACCATAGTATGGCGTTATGGAAATACCCAGAACTATAACAGTTGTGAGTTGATATCTGGTGAAATTAAATTTGAATTATGTAAGTTCGAAGGGTCAGGACAGATGAATGGGACATTCCATTTTTGAAATTGTGGGGGCATTTGTATATCTTTCATTCTATGTTGTCACTTGTTTACTCGGAATACAGATGCGAGGTTATTACTGTCCATTGTGCTCAGCGCAATGGTCGAGTATGAGCCCTTAATGATCGTGACCAGAGGCATTTGGCTGGAATAACCTGTGGTAAGAGACAAAGGAGACTGGGTCAAATCACATCCACATTCAATGAAGGATGTGCTCGATGCATATCCAGCAGATCAGTTCAGTGTTATTTAGCGTCAATGGGATATGGGAACAGAAGTCCCACCAGGGTGTCACTGTTAGCACAATGACACTTTGGATACAGCGGTTCACCTTGGCTTGTGGTATCACGAATTGGACCCTGGAGGACAGGAAACTTGAGAGATAGTCCGATGTGTCTCGATTCCAGTTGTGTCGGGCTGGAGATTGATTCGGGTGTGGCGCATATACCCTGAGGCTGGCAATGCTTCCATAATGGTCTGGGTTATATATACATGGCAGGTATTGGGTTCGTTCACCTGTAACAGCTCGTTGCACTATCATTTGCGCCAATTCATGGACTGTGCGTACCCCGACAAAGATGATCTATTCCGTCAGGATAATAGATCGTGTCATCATGCCCAAGTTGACCTGAATGTCTTTGAGAGGCATTCTGGAGTCTTCTGAAGAATGATTTGGCCACCACCTTCCCCCCTACATGAAACACAATCGAGCATTATGTGTCGTAGTGGATAGGTGTATTCGCACGCAAGAATTCGAACCTATAAATATTATAAATATGAGAACTGTAGACAGCTGTCGGAACGACATTGCTCAACAGATCTCCAGAAGTTTTTCAACCGCTTGTAGAATCAAAGAAACGTCGCGTTGCTACAATCTGTCGGACTAGAAAGAGTTCTACACCTTATTATGCATATATCCCATAACATTTGGTACATTAATATATATATATATATATATATATATATATATATATATATATATATCCAATAAATTATGAAGTCCAAATGATTTATCTGCTTAGCCGACTCCAGATTTTCGCATCCTGAGCTCACGACGGCCAGATGTTTGATTTATGTTATATATCGTGCCTATAACATAAATGGGTATGTCCCAATCTTGATAAATACGTTGGACACTATTGTAAGTGGAGGGTAATATGGTGTCTATGTAGTCCACTACTATCTGTGGTTTACCTACTTCACGCCGCTGGCGAGTATTGTATTTTATTGATGTTATAATGATTAGCATTTTCATGTCCAACCTCCGTTTTGGTTATTCCACTTCTTAGGTTACAAATATCTATTTGTTAAACATCTGGCCTTGGTGAGCGTTTCCACGCAAAACTCTTGAGTAGGCTAATCAAATAAATCGCTTGAACTTTTCTTGATTTATTCAATATTATAGCTCTGTTTATCTATTCAGCACTTTTGGAAGACGTTCTAATGACTTGAAAACGTTTTTTCACATATTTTCTCATATATATATATATATATATATATATATATATATATATATATATATATATATATATATATATATATATATAATCAAGGTTAACAGAATATTTGACAAAAAGGGCTCAATAGCTATCTAAAACAATAATTATTCTATAAAATTATTGACACATCTCAAAGATTGACACAGTTTACTCATAAGAATAATTGTAACAATTATTTTACATTATAAACGCTTTTCTTTTTTTGTCCAACGTTCACCCAAAACAAGGCTCAAGAGCCGCTCAAGTCGTGGTGTTGCATTATTGTAAGAATAAGGGTAAGAAGTGTAATTCTTGTGGCTATGCAGGAAAGATGACGTCTAACTCTAGACATGAAACCGGAAACCCAATCTGAAACAGGAAACAAGGAACAAACCACTATTCCTGTTCAAAAGACAGGAAAAAAGGCTTATTATATAATGAATGCAATGCACAAAAAATATATATGAGATAGTCACAGCAGAGATCAATAAATTATGACATTTATTTATTACATAAATTTTGACATTTATTCCTTCACGGGATAATAATTCTTTATGTGCTGGATAGAGAAATGGCGAATTAAGAAGGAAAAAACCTATGTTGTAGAATAACATTTCGTGTGATATAAAGGCTTTTTTTTCAACATACAATTACGGTCTTATTGGCGCCAAACCTACGGACTTATAGGTCATATCTATCTATCTATCTATCTATCTATCTATCTATCCCATTCTACTCACTATCTATCTATCTATCTATCTATCTATCTATCCCATTCATACATACGTATATATATATATATATATATAATGGAAAGAAAGACATCTATTAATTACCCCTGATATGGCTTAACTGTCGTTCACATTCCTACAATTTCATTTCCTCTTCTTTACGGTATAATTTAACATTTTGTCGTGTCTAATTATCAGCGTCACATTTTCGACATCAAAGAATGGACGTCTCGTCTGTACGGCCTTGTTTCATTCATTGCCAGATTCAATAACGTTATGGCATTACTGGGTTGCATGTACGAGACACAGTTTCCGACAAAAAAAAGAAGGGAAACATGTGAAAAGCGTATTCAGTGGCTGAGTGGAGAGAGAGACTCGATAGATTATCCAAATAATTAAAGCTACGTCAACAAAAAAGCGAAATATGAGTCACGGCGGCGAGATGATGAGATTAACGAGTACAATGAAATAAGCATTGCACTCTTTAAAAAAGGAGACAACAATACGAATAAAAAATGGAAGGCCTTCTCTTACGCCATTTTAACAGCTGCTGTTTCACTACAGATCATTCCTTTTTTAATGAAATAATAATTCACATTATCTATCTATCTATCTATCTATCTATCTATCTATCTATCTATCTATCTATCTCAGTCTGTTCAGATCTATCTATCTATCTATCTATCTATCTATCTATCTATCTATCTATCTATCTATCTCATTCGGTTCCTATCTATCTATGTTATTCTCAACGCCCTTTTTAGGGAATACACATGTTTAAATATATATACAGCGTGAGTGAAAATTGAATTTTAAATAAAATCTCAAACACTTTCCACTCATATCCATTTCTTGTGTAAATTATAGTTAATAAATTATAATTATTTTAAAATGTAGAGTTACTTTTCAATCACCCTGTATTATATATATATATATATATATATATATATATATATATATATATATATATATATATATAGACGTACACACATACACACACGCACACATATATGTGTGTGTGTTTGTGTGTGTGGGTGTATGTGTTTATTTAATCATGTGTTGTATACATACATACATAAATACGTACATACATAAAGGTGGCATGGTGGAGTAATGGATATGTGGAATTGGAGAGCAGAGTTGGAATCCATTACATTCATTTACGTGCTAATGCCCTTTTTCTCCTCCCAGCTATAGACAGACTGGGCTCTATAGCCTTGGATGGCAACTGGTCTAGGAGAAGGATAGCTCTTAATTCAAAACCTGCGTCGGGGGGTGGGGTGATCGTTTGGAGACCAGGTCTCTGTATTCGGCCCTTCAAAAAGTATGATTGGTTATACACAAAGCCTCCACCACTAGAATCAAATCATATGTGCAGATGTCTGGCTTTCGTTTCCTAGGAACTGAGTTGCGTGATCCTCATACGTTTAATACGACGGGAGAGTTCAGCATATACATCCAATTATAAAATATAAGATGAAAGCTTAAAGTCAGCTTAAAATATATAATATAAAATAAACTTATAAGTCAATGCCAAAGTGACAGACTGGGACAATAATAATAATAATTTTATGGGACATAATACAACCAGACAAAACTAATCACCCAGGCATTTCTATTAGAGACCGCAAACAAAAAATTGATGTATCATTGAAGATCTTCAAAAAGCTGTCAAAATACAAGGACCTTGAAATCGAAATCCCAAAAATGTGGCATATGGGAACATCAACAATCCCTGTTATAGTTGAAGCTCTCGGATTTGTTGGAAAAGATTCCAGTAGACTAAATGAAGGGATTCCTGGAAGTCCATGCCTTAAAGAAATACAAAAAGTTGTTCTCAGGAGTACAGCCCACACCTTATGAAGGGCTTTATCTATGCGAAATATGTGTGATTTTTAATTGCTAGGTGGAAAATGTCATGATGCCATTTCTAACCTTAGGTCCCTGGGCGGGACCTGGAAATCAAATGAAATAATAATAATAATAATATAAGTTGTGAAAATGCTACGCTACTTTGGGTTTCATGCTGACTATTGTGCTACAACAAATGAAATTTGGACTAGCGTAAGGTTGCGTAACAATTTGGTAACTTATATATATATATATATATATATATATATATATATATATATATATATATATATATATATAGATAGATAGATAATTTAGTGCTCACACACACACACACACACACACACACACACACACACACACACACACACACATATATATATATATATATATATATATATATATATATATATATATATAAATAAAATATATAAATATATATACCGGTGTCTATTTTTTTATTTTAATTTAGGTCAGCGAATCGGTAGCAAATTAAGCATCGAAAAATAATTCCTATTTATCCGTATCTCATTCATTTAAACCGTTATTTAACTCCTCTCTTTAAAAACTTCTCTGTTAAATTTTAGTTCCCACCTTCACCTTTCGGCCTTCCTGTTCTTCTTTCTTCTATTACATCCTCTCTCTAGAGCTTTCAGAACCTTTCCCTCTCACACTTGTTTCCCCTCCCACACATACACTCTCACTGAAATTTTATTTTTATGCAATTATACAAATTGAAAAAAGAAATCGGAAAAATATAACTCCATATTTTCCGATTTCTTTTTCAATTTGTAGGTCTGATGAATTGATCGTGATTACGATTCCAATGTAATAAATTATAACCATGGAATATTAGTGTTTTAGCCTTTTTTTTATTATTATTATTATACATATATATATATATATATATATATATATATATATATATATATATATATTAGCCTTCATGAACATGGTAGATGTTATCGAGGAACAGTTAATTATTATAATTTTAAAATTTGATATTGATGTTTTTTTGTCTTATTTCAGCTATTCATTGATAATGAAAAGGTTTGTATGTACAGCTTGTTGTCTTGCTTTCCTCTCTGGTGAGAGTGTGCAAATGTTTAGTCGAGACATGAATACAGGATACCAAATCATTCCTCACACTGGCTAAACAAAACAAAACAAGCAAGCTGGGTACCTGGATCGTTGAGAAGGTATATAACGCATTCTTGCTCTGGTGGCTGGTGAACAAGCTTCTTTTTTTATGAGTTAAATCTGATTTTGTTGGACAGCAAGTTGGTCGTTAAAATGTTTACAGTTTTTGCGTGCGTGTGTGTTTCTTCACGGTTCAGTAAAGGAGTAAATCACGGTAGGTTTTAGCTCAGTGGCTGAACACGAGATTCCGATTTCAACTATCGCAATAATTAAACATTCTACGGAGTGAAACGAGAAACCGAGTTTTATCATTGTAGTTCTTTTGTTTTCTCGTTGTTTTCTCTGTGTTGCATGCGTAATAGTGAATGAATGGTTTTGCCGTTTGTTCTAGTTATCAGGCCATAGCATATATATATATATATATATATATATATATATATATATATATATATATATATATATATATATATATATATATATATCCAATACTGGATCCAATTGCAATATGAGCACTGGTAAAATGGTTACTGAAGACATTAGGTTTATAATAAGTAGAACTTCATACACAGATGTCCTCAAGGACACATGGCACAGTTAGATACAATGGTAGGACCCAAAGAATGTGAGTTCAATACCCGGTTAAGGCGGTGGAGAACTTGGAGAGGGAAATTAACAGGAGATAACTGATAACTGACATCCATTAAACATGGCACGTGGAACTAGAACAGTCTACCCCAATGAGAAAAATAAAGGGTTCAGTTCGACATTCCAACCACCTGAAGAAATCCGGTGCGTACAACGGCCGAAACTTTGTAAAAAATATGTTGACAAAGATGAGGACAATAGTCCGAATAACGTAAATACTGTATATAATTGTCCTTTCGATTAGTTTTATTTCAATTTACAATTCGAATGAATATTTTTAGAATAAGTGTTTTCCGAATATTTTTTTTCCGAACAATTTTCTTGATACAATCCAGTTTCCATTGTAATTTTAATAAATTTTTCTAATTATCTAATGACTTTTTGGACACCGAGGTCTTGTCTGTGGTCATAAATACAGTAGTTAAATTTTTAGATGTCTCACCTATGTATTTCTTATGGCAGGGTAGACAGTCTATCCTATCTTTCGATGAGCACTTCAACGTGGTGTAATGGTTAGCAAGTTTGTCTACTAAGTATTGAGTTCGGTAAATGTTAGTAAGCTTGCTAGATCAATAACGACTGAGTAGAGAGTTCACTCCTCACTGGGCGCTCCTTAATCTCAGCCTTGTGCCACGACTAAGCTATGCTTAGTAAATAACGATATTTTTAGGCACTTCGACTTGGTACAATGGTTAGCAAGCTTTTTGCTCGCTTGATCAATTACGACTGAGAAGTGAGTTCGATCTTCACTAGATGCCTCATACTTTCGATCTTGTGCCGCAACTACGCTACGCTTAGCAAATAACTCACTATACTGGCTTCCGATGTGATATTCTTTTTTTTTTTTTACCTGTTTTCTTTTAAAGAAAAAATTATAACAAGATATTATTTTTTTTATAAGGGGAACTGAAGTCATGTTTTTTACGAAAGTGTGGAATATTTTTTCATAATAATAAAAGAGTTAAAACGCTAGTGACTTCATCTTCCCTAAATACCGAAAGTGGATGCCTTTCGCCCCCCCTCGTTCGCTGGTCTCAAACCATCAAGCAAGACATTACAACGTGACGTAAAGTATACAATACCCATTAAAGGTCTGGGAATCACACGCCTAAAAAGATTACTGTACGTTTTTCTTCTTCGTGAAAATGGTAGGCCAGGTGATCTACCGACATTTGATACAACATGTCAGCTAACAGTCTTTAGGGTAGCAGACTCGTCAAACAACTCCGTACCCTAGCATCGCTTTCGCTCCCTACAACCATTTCCCACTCATAGATACCTTTCTGCCGATTTATCTACCTAAAAGATCGCTTGGAAATTTGATGCAAACCGCTTTTTCTCTTTACATATCGCAACAATTTTTTTTGATGTTATTTCTTCGTCTAAATGGCGTTGTTTTTACGCAACCTTTAAAATGGGGAATCAGCTAAAAAGTCCGTATCATTTTGCAGTCATTAATTCGTACTCATATCTATCTATCTATCTATCTATCTATCTATCTATCTATCTATCTATTTCATTCTTCATATCTATCTATCTATCTATCTATCTATTTCATTCTTCATATCTATCTATCTATCTATCTATCTATCTCTGTAATGGTTGCAATTATAATCTTTACAACTACCTGTACACCTACAGAGGACCACGTAAAACATGGACGTTTCATTTGAAAGGACGATATTTTTTTTTATTTAAATCAATGAATGTATCTTGAACTATGAATAAAACAAGCAAATTAATGGTGCATTTTTTCACTGAATCTATAGAAAAAGAAAAGAAAAAAAGAATTTCCTTATTTCTGTTTTTTTTTATCCATTTGCAAAGAAATTAGAACACTGTCATCACTAAATGTTTAGATTAGATCTCTTTTAGTGGGGCTAGATAAATATTTCTACACACACACACATGCGCGCGCAGAGAGAGAGAGAGAGAGAGAGACAGACAGACAGACAGACAGACAGACAGAGAGAGATATGTACGCCTGCATCGTTCATATTATATAAAATTCATGTATGTGTCATGGAAAATGAATACTTATTTTAGTTCCTAGTTTCCACTGTTTCCTTCGAAGTAGTTCTTTTGGTTATGTACACAGCTATCTGACAAAGAGGACTGCTCACAAGAATTAGCGGCAAAGTTCATATTATAATCGTTTTATACGCCCTGTTCAGTTTTTTTCCCGAAATTTGGATGAACACACCTCACCTTGTATATTATATTTTTAATTCGTACGTTAGACGGAGAGTAATTTATGTGCCACGCATCACCCTCTCCCTCTTTTCTCCCCTCTCTCACCCCATTCTCTCTCTCTCTCTCTCTCTATCTCTATATATATATATATATATATATATATATATATATATATATATATATGTATATATACAGTGAGCGATGGGTAAATCGTGGCCATTTTATATATTTAATTTTGCTTATGCATAATTTTGCGTAGGGTCAGTTGGGCACCATCAGTGAGAAAAAGATCACCATGACGCAATTCACTCCGCCAGAAATTTGGAAAAAGAATGCTGTACTGCTTGGCATTCATGCTGGAAGCTCCAAAACGAACATTTCCGAGTGTTTAGGTGTCAATCTGAAGACAGTGCAAAGGATTCGAAAAGAGTTGGATGGATCTAATAGTATTTCAAGATATATTTCTGTAATTTTGGCAAATATATCTGTTAAAATGAGATGCCAGTGTTATTTTCATTTTTGCGTAATTTACACGACGATTTATCCATCGCACCCTATACACACACACACACACACACACACACATATATATATTTAGTTATGTTCATTATCTCTCTTGTTTTGTTCATTATCTATCTGTCGGTGTCGTTCTATCCAGCTATCTATCTAGTTCTGTTCATTATCTATCTATCTATCTATCTATCTATCTATCTATCTATCTATCTATCTATCTATCTTAGAAGAGTTTATTATCTATCTATCTATCTATCTATTCATTCATTTAGTCATTCAGTTCTATATCTATCTAGTTCTGTTCTTTCTCTTGTTTTGTTCATTATCTATCTCTCGATGTCGTTCTATCTATCTCTATCTATCTATCTATCTATCTATCTATCTATCTATCTATCTATCTATCTATCTCTGTGTGTGTGTGTGTGTAAGCCGTAAACAATAAACAACTGCGTCAAAACGTTAAGTCATACCAATATACAGTGATATAGTCAATTTACTGAAAGACTTTCCAAGATTGAAGCAGATGTAAACATTTTCATAGTAGATTTAGCATGTAAACAGTTGTACTAAATATAATCCCTGGTCCCATGTGGTCCTTGATCATCGTTCATGTAGATTTTTATGCGGCTGGATTGACTTTGCATTCCACTACAAGCCTTGAATTCGCAGTTGCCCTTCTCCTAGACCGATTGCAAAGCAGACTGGGTTCCTTTTGGGAATAGTGTGCATCCATCTCTTTTTTCCCCCTATCTATGGTTTAAATAGCTGGGCACACTAAGCTCTCTAACCTTGGTTGATAAACACTTTAGGAGAGGGTCATCAGTCCGCGTCGATTACGTCCCTGCCCTTTGTACACACTGCGCGTCGCTACTACCGATCGAACGGTTTGGTGAGGTCCTCGGATCTGACCGACGACGCCACCGTGCAGCGTGCACTTGGCGCAGCGATGCCTGGAGAAGACGACCGAAGGGAAACATTGAATTTAAACGCAAGGAGAACTGTTGGGAAACATCGTGGTACACTGTGTATCATTTTTCTTTTATCGATTGCTTCTACACAAGCCTTCGCCACTTGAATCAAATCGTGTTTATGGCCTTCTGACAGTTCCGTTCTAAAACTGAAATGTTTGGCCTTCATACGTTGAAATCGACAGTATAGTTTACTACTATATATATATATATATATATTCCAAGAAGTTGGGCACCTCGGCGTGGTGTAGTGATTAGCAAGCTTGTCTTGCTAGATCAGTTACGACTGAAAAGTGAGTTCGATCCTCACTAGATACCCCATATTTTCGGCCTTGTGCCACATCTAAGTTACGTTTAGAAAATCGATATATTCAAACAAGTTTTATTAAATTCAACCGACAATGTCTGTCTGTTTAATTTTTTTATCGTGTTTTTCCAATTTTCGAATAAGTTCTTTTATATTTGTCACGAAATTATTAATAAATTGTCCAAAGTTTAGGTTTAATCTGTTCTTTTTGTTCAGATACTATCGATCGTCAACACCCTTTATATATTACTCAGAACGTCAGTTTCTTAACCTTTAACCATCTGCATTATTAATATGATTTCCCTTTCCACTGAATTCTTTTTCAACGCCTCTCAATTTCAATAGCCTTATTGTTAATTTTACTCAAAGGTGTTTTCTGTTGCCATAGCAGGATATGACAACACAACTATGAGATTCAAACAAATTCAAATTCAGAGATCAGAGTCACCTTCAGCGACAGGATAAACTTTCTGTACAGCAAATGAAATCCCATGCACAGTGATAAAGGTTACTAACATACTGCATTATAGAACTGCATTGGAAGTTTTGTTTTCTGATTGTGGTATGCATTTTGGTCATCAGGTGTCACTCGGGCTAATGGCGACCCTGTTAGAATTTCACTTGCACAATACAAGAAAATCTTACCAGAACCGAAACTGGCTTTACAAGTTGTATAAAAAGTATAAAAATATAGTTTTTTTGACAAAAAGAATAATTTGCCATATCTTCGGAGCTTGTGGAGAGCTATAAACGTCTCCTTTTTTATTATCACTTCTCCCATGCAATATCATGAAACGAAGGAATTCATGATGGCTGGTGATTAAAACATGCAAATAATAATAATAATAATAATAATAATTATTATTATAAGAAATACAAAAAATTGTGTTGATAAGTACAGCGCACACACTCCGAATAACTTTGTCCATGTAACGCTAATGATGTTATCATGAAATGTAACCATAACAACACACCAGTCCCTTGGGTCTTCTCGCAGACTTGGTAAGTAGTGTGACCATAGCAGAAATCGGAATAATAATAATAATAATAATAATAATAATAAATACAAGTAAAGCACAGTACACTGGCTGAAGCTGCAAAATACTTAAAAAAGAAAGCAAAGACAAATGCAACCGACGACATGATTGGATTACTAAGAGGGTCTATTGGGAAGAAGCATGTAATTTATTTTGGCTTCAGTGTAAAAGAGAAGTGGCATGAACAGTAGCCAGGGGCAGAGGTAAAAAATGATAAGATATTATGGAATTTCTCAAACCAAACAAATTATGGCGTTGAAGCACGAAAACCCGACCTCATTGTTATAGATAAGGAAAACAGCAAGTGTCAAATAATTCATTTTGCAGTTCCAATACAAGTGTGGACACCGAAGAAACTGAAAAGATTAAAAAACTACTAGGATCTCGCTAGGGAGTTGAAAAATCTATGGAACATGGATGTGGAACTGATATATTCAGTGAATTGGGAAAGCATATCAGTTCTAAAACTGTTCATTTGTACCCTCTTACTTCTTCAAATAATGACCTGCATTTATGATTATTATTGAAAAGTTTTGACAAAAGTTTAAATATTTAACGAGGTCATAGGTGAGTATACTCCGATAATTTGTAAAGATATATGCCGATGATACAAAAATATATGGATGCACCTCCAAAACTCATGATGGCCCGAGATTGGCAGCGGATCTCTCCTCTGATCTAGCTCTAACAGATCAGTGAGGGAAAAACTGGCTGGTTACATTTAATGTTTCGAGAACCAAACTATTTACATTCCATTATCACCAATCGGACCCCGAACTATCGCCAGTCACGATGAATGTATGTTCCACCGATGAGACCCCTAGTCACAATGAATGTATGTCCCACCGATGGGACCCCTAGTCACGATGAACGGATGTCCCACCGACGGGACCCCAGTCGCGATGAATGCATGTCTCACCGATGGGAAATCAGTCACGATGAATGTATGTCCCACCGATGGTACCCCCAGTCACGATGAATGTATGTCTCACCGATGGGACCCCTAGTCACGATGAACGGATGTCCCACCGACGGGACCCCCAGTCGCGATGAATGCATATCTCACCGATGGGACCCCCAGTCACGATGAATGTATGTCTCACCGATGGGACCCCCAGTCACGATGAATGGATGTCTCACCGATGGGACCCCCAGTCACGATGAATGGATGTCCCACCGACGGGACCCCCAGTCACGATGAATGGATGTCTCACCGATGGGACCCCCAGTCACGATGAATGGATGTCCCACCGATGGGAGGATCCGTGCCTTGACCGACTGTTGGGCCTTAAATTAACCCCAAACTTCAAGCAGTTGCCATGAAAATATTTGTAGAATATACAGAAGAAAGCCACGTCACATATTAAGAAAATGACTGGAGACGAGATGTCTGGTCAGGACCGATTGTATTGCAGACACTTCTCTGGATTTTGTAAAGAATCTTGTGATGGACAGCAGGAGGACCAGACCGGATATAGCAACAGTATCCAATCCATGGCCGAATGGTAGATTTATAAATGTTCAAGATGGATTCTATTTGCTGTCTTAAAACAACCGTTAAATATGTACCAGAGAAAATGGAAAAAAATGTGATTATTGTAACTCGCAAAGTTTAAGCCTAAAGTGAACCTTTGTACGGTAAAGAAATTCAGGAGAAAGTCTTTCAAACGCACTATCATCCTGACAACGATCCTCAGGCATTTTCTTATGACCTGGTGGGTGTTAAAGTGCGCAAATTGAGCATTTGTAGCATTTCCTCTATAATTTAGAGCATATGACATGTCATATGACTCTTTTGTTCTGTGTAAGAAATATTTGAAAAAATAATCTTATTTTAATATATATATTTATATATATATATATATATATATATATATATATATATATATATATATATATATTCAGGGTGCGGCGAGTAAATTGTCGCTATTTTATATTTTTAATTTTATGCATACGTGTTATTTGTTTTTGATGTTGTCGACTGCACCGGATAGGTGGGGTCAGTTGGGCAACGTCTGTGAGAAAAAGAGCACCATGACGCAATTCACTCCAGAAATTTGTTGTATTGTTTGGAATTTGCAGTGGAAGCTCCAGTACGAACATTTGAGATAAACATTTGCAATGAAGAGGATTCGGAAAGAGTTGGATGATTCTAATGGTGATTACGAAGGTGTTTGGAGTGATCATTAGACATGGAGGCCTCCATCATGTATCTTGAGGAGGTAGTGCTGTCCTGGGTCAAGAGGGTGGCGCCTGGCAACAAGACTGCCCCCAAAGTTTGTAAAAGGTATTTTTGATACACCATATATATATATATATATATATATATATATATATATATATAATTATTTTAAAAAAATATGATTCCTTCGCTACATAAGAGTTCTCATGTTTCAAAAACGAGTGACGAAAACCTCAATATAATTATTAAAATTAATTTGAACTAAAGTATCAAGCCCTGTTTCATCCTCAAGCGAAAATTTAGGAATAACCAATCTTGAAATTTACGCATCTTTATAAGCATGTTCATTGCAAAATTAATTACTATGGAAACGGCTGAGGCGACCATTTTGGTAAGGGGTCTAAGAGATAATTTTTATCCACATATCAGTCACCTTCGGAAAGAAAATGGTGAAATAGGGTAATGTTGTATTTGATCAAAGCGAATGATGGCATTCATGTACGCACATCGTCTAGTCAGTCACAGCAAAAGATAGCTTTTGTATATATATATATATATACATACAACGTTACTGAAAAGAACGAAACAAGCGAATGAAAAAATTTCATCAACTGATTTTTTTATTTAATTCTCTTTTGAAAACTGTTCTTAATTTTTGTAATTTATTTAATCAAAACATGCCTAAAAGAGAATTTGCTGTTAATAACACGCACACACATTTATACAACACACACACACACATATATATATGTGTGTGTGTGTGTGTGAAAAAAAAGAAAAAGAGAGAGGGATATATATATTTATATATATAGATATAGAGAGAGAGAGTAGAGGGAAAGACTTAGGAGAGAGAAAGGATAGATAGATAATAGATAGATAGATGGTCTTTCTCGCCTATTATACCATTACCAGAGAA